TTCATATGCCCAAGGACTCCGCGACTTCCGAATAACACCCTTCTCTAGCATTTCCTTGACGTTTGCTCATAAAATCTTGATCTCCTTAGGTGACCGACGACGAATAGGAACCTTGATTAGACGAGCATCCCCGGTTGGAATCGGATGACGTGTGGCAATCTTGGCCCCAAACGATAAGTCAAATTCAAAGAGATCAGAATACTCCTTCATGAGCCGGTCAACTGCTGCAACACAAAGATCGTCAGAGGGATCAGAAAAGGGAAAAACAGAACAAGATGGAAACACAAAAGGAAAGAGTGGGGGAACAAAAGTAATAGAAGCAGAGGTAGAAGTAGAGGGACGAAGAGGTATGGAAGTGAGAGGAATGGATGAAACATAAGGAAGTATGAGACAAGGGGGAGAAGCCTCAAAGTCACACTTGGCATGATTGCGCTGCAACCAATCCATACCAAGAATGAGGTCAAAAGCTTGACTCGGCACCACCCGCAACGGCTGCAACTCAAGCTCGAGATCACCCACACGCACAACTAGGTCCACCTCATCCCATGCACATGCATGTGTACGGCTGTTGCCATAAAGAATGAAAATTGGTTCCGCCGCACGACGCAAGTGTAAACGACAATGTGTGGCAACAGGTCGAGCAATAGAAGATAAACTCGAACCTGTATCAACCAATACGGAGAGAATAATAGGAGACCTCTTGTTATAAAAACGAGCTTGGAAAGTAAACACTGGATGAACCGGTGCCGAGTGAACCCCTTGATGATACTCCCGAAAGAAAGATGGAGGGGTCACTAACTTATTTGCACAAGGTCCCTCCGTTACTCGCACGACTCCTCATTTCCCGGATGCATCTCGGTGTCCAGACCTTCCACTGCAGCAGCACCCACAGGACGTTGCTGACGCCAAGGTCTCCACCTAGGAAATGGAGGTCGCCAATCCGGAAAACGACGGCAACGCCGATAAGTATGATCAACTTCATCACACGCCCAACAGCGAACATCACGGCCATGACCACATCCTTGCACTTGTCCTTGGCCTCGAGCAGCAGCAGCATCAACCTCCATTGGAACAAGACCATCACCCATAGGAAGTGGAGCAGAAGGACGTGCAGCGAGAAGTGGAAGAGGCGACGTCTTATAACGTTGTGCCAAGCGAAGAGCATCGTCAAGGGTGGCAGGAGCAAGTGCATGCACAAGTCCGACAAGATCTTGACGAAGTGCTGGCCACAACATTCCTAGCTTGATCCGCTCCGACATATTTGGCTCCGCATAAAGCAAAAGACTTCGGAAACGAACGCCAAATTGCATCACCGACTCAGATGGCCCTTGGCGAAGATGATGCAATTGTTGGAAAGCATCATCACAATCATCGGCATGTCCAAAGGCGCCTTTGAAGACGTCCGGGAGAACACTCCAATCCCCACGAGTGGCTGCGCTCAAACCATTGTACCACTGCAACGCCGTCCCTTGAAGACACGTGGGAAACTCACGCAACCGTCGAGCATCATCCCAAGAATGATATGTAGCAATCACCGTGAAGTGATCAAACCAATGGTACACATCATCCCCAGGATTCCCACGAAAGAACTTTGGCCGAACGCGAGGATTGGCACCAAGAGCAGGAGGAGTTGGACCACGTGCCGTGAATGCCGCCATCAATTGAGTTTGGTTGTTCAATTGCAAGCACATAGCATCAAGCAATTGGACCAACTACTGGTCGAGAGTCAAAGGAGGAGATTGTTGATCTGCCATAGAGACAAATGAAAAAGAAAGAGCAAAAGAAGAGAAATGACAAAAAGCTAGAAGAAAATGGTAGATCTAGACAATGCAAAAAGCTAGATCTAAACCAAAATCCTGAAAGGAAAGAACAAAAAGAAGGAAATGGAAAAAGCTAAATCTAGACAATGCAAAAGCTAGATCTAAACCAAAATCCCAAATCCAAGCACTTCTCAAGGACAATCAAAGGTGCCCCTTATCTCCACCAATGTGAGTGCTTGGAATAGTGCTTGGAATATGGAAGGGGAATATAGAAATATGCATATTAATTAGCCCAAAAACCATATAGGAGCGAGTGGTCTAGATTAAAACCAATCCGACGGCTACCAAAATCCCACTATACTAATATTAGTATACGGCATCGTAACCGTACACTTGGCCCTCACACATCCAAAAATAATAATTATATTAGAGATATAATGTTTGTATTAAGACAAAAAGCGGTACTAATGCTTTATGATAAAACTATGCATTCCAATTTAAAAATACAGTGAAGTTAAACTACACTAAGAAATTGAAGTAGTGAAGCTATACTTTGTTAATTTTTGAAGTGTTATAACAATTAGTAGTGAATTGGACTAATACATTACTGAAACTAAATAATTTAATGAAATTCCTAGCAATTATTTTGATACACAATTGTATACTCATGTTGGTTAGATGTAATTACTTTTAATTTTACCTGGCTATTTAATTTTCTTATTTCCTTTTCCTTTATGTCATCATCTTTGAAATGCCAAAAGTTTTGAAGAAAACCTTATTATTATAAATAACTCTTCAAGAGAGTAATTGCAAAAGGGATATTTTTACATAAATACACATAAAAGAAAAACAATTTGCAATACAAATCCATAAATCCTTGTTAGGATTAAGGATTTTCATAGAAAGATTAGGGTTTGTGAATTATTTATGGTCATATCAACCAACACATTATACTAAGAGTACAATATATCATACCTTAATTTTCTCATATATATATATATATATATATATATATATATATATATATATATAAAGTAAAATCCACAATGATGGACAACGATAAGCTCAGCAAGCTCCTCGTAATAAGGAACCCACAGTTTAAAGTTCCCATCAAGTAAGCATTGGCTAGATTGATCAGCTTTGTACCTTCTACTTCTCCAGCAATAGGTACTTTGTTAAGTAGTTCTTTTAAAGTTTATAAATAATTGTATGGAAAACATAAAATTACTTATAAAATTTCTCCATAAAATTATTTTAAGCATGGACAACTTCAAGAAGTGAGACCATATGAGTCTAAATTATTTTTAAAAATAAATACCAGTTATAAAAAGATTTAAATTATATAATAAATTATTAATTAAAAACATAGATCTATCACATTACTATGTAGATAATAATATTAACATATTTTATATATGATAATATATTTACAGTAATATAATAACATTTTATATATATATAAGTAAATTTATTTTGTATTTACATTTCTAAAAAATATACTTTGTTGTATAAAACATATCATTTTTGAGTAAAGTGTTATTTTTTTTCATTTTATCCACTCTACTTCATCATTCTCTTGTATTATAGATTAGATTGTTCAAACCTAGATTTTAAATTACATAAAACTTAAACTTATAAAATTAGATTTAACGTACTACTATATACATGAATAATTAAAATATATTTTATATTGCAAGAACCACTGCTTCATTCGAACTCTATGAAATTTTTGGCTTTATTAAATACTATAGAATGACATTATCTACATAAAATATAAAATATAAATCTCTTTTTAAGAAAATTATTATAAAAGAAACATATTTTCGATGGATGTTTTGGAAGACTAAAATTGATTTAGCAAACTATTCTTAGTTTTAAAGATACTAAAATTTAATGTTATTTTATTATATCTTCCTTCAGATGGAGCTTCGCTTTCTTCAACTTCTTTGATTCCTCTTACAGGTGGTTATGGAGCTGGGAGGCAATGCTCCATGCATAGTGGAAGATCTTGTCCCAGACTTGGAAGGTACAATCGCTAGGTTGGTCCACAGGGGATTCTATCAAAGCGGCCAGTCGTGCATTCACATGCAGCGTCTTTATGTGAGAGGTGGCCTTTACAAGGAGGTATCCGACACTTGTCTTTAAATTCTATCACATTCTTTGTTCTCAAATTGAGCCTTGATCTAACATATCTGGTGCTGGTTGTGTAGGTGAAGGACGCATTGATCACTGCTGTTAAGAAACTCAAAGGTGGAGATCCTTCCCAAGACGACACGTCCATTGGGCCCATGATATCTGAGTCGTCAGCAGCTACAGTGGAGAAGGGCGTGAACAAGGCAGTGAAGGCTGCCGCCAAACTTCTAGTTGGTGGTAAGCATAGGGGAGCTTTCATGGAGCCAATGATCCTGGAAGACACTCCCTTTGACACGGATGCAAGGAAGGGAGAGATTTTTGGTCTCGTGATCCTTCTCTACTCATACAAGTAAGCTCTTAAAGTTTCTTAGCTCCCGAAGTTCTTCTTTACTTCCTTTTTTTTTTTTCTCTAAACTAAAACGGTGGTGATTTCAAGGAAGCCGTGAAGGAAGCTAACAACACGCATTACGGTCTCCAAGCTGGCGTCTTTACGCGTACGAGGACAACTCGGCAATAATTTGTGGATAGACTGTACAAAAGCTCGAGCTCGAGCTTGATCAAAAGTAAGACGTGTTGCCTACATTGCGCATGACTAAAACTTTGGTTTCGAGCATGTTGTCCATTGCGTACTTGACACCCTCTTGTTGGATTCCAGAGTCTTTGATCCCACCATATGGCTGCCTACCAATGCGCATGCTTGGCAAATCGTTGAGGCAAACTCCTCCAGCCTGTGAGGATCAAATAATCATCAAACAATCGATCCATACTTTCTATATCTCAAACGCAAAGCTACCTCTATGTGCTCAAACGCATAGAAGGCCTTGTTGCTCTCTCGGTCTCTAGCACCATCAACCTTTTACCTTTAGGACGGAGAATGCTTGTCTATAAGCTCCTGGGAGAAGGTCCATAGCTTGGGAGCGAGCTCGGGTTCTCTGCCATAAGTGCTACAGTTGGATTTGTTGGAATCCACAAAGTATTGCCTGGTGACGTCCTTGAGGCTTGGATGTAAAGCTGTGTAGCACGATGATGATTCTGGCTGCTTTCTCCTCACCAATCTTCTCGCAAATATGCTATATTTAAAAGACCAAATAATTATGGAATAACGCCTTAAGAAAGGAAGGCAATATTTCCACCAACGAACGTAACCACTCGAGGAAAAATGCCCGTGCCCTGTCCAAAAGGAGACTCGGGCAACACCACAAAGTCGGCAAACTTTCCTGGCATCAGCGACCCAACCAAATCCTCCAATGCAGCTGCATACACAGCCGAGGATGTGTACGTGTGAATCCAAAAACAAGGACTGCATTTCAGCTTCTCATCTGTTTTCTCTTACCCTACCACTGCGTCCTATGCAGAAATCCTTTCCTCGGGAATCCAGGGATGACTCCAGCCTGAAGGTGTTCTCTCCACAGCTGTGCGGATCCCTCCAACTGGATTCACTGCTACCACCTTGAGACAAACCATTCACGTAATGCCGAAGAAAAAGTATTTGACAGGCTTACAGGCCAGTTGGATCCTAGAGCAACCACACTACCGTTTCCGACGAGGGACCGGAGGTTATAAGATCTGCGTGAGTGCTTCTCACCAAGTTTCTTCATGGCGTAGTAAGCATCATCTAGAAGTTTCTCTGGCTGTGCAAAAATATAGGGTTTTGCAATGGAGGCAAAATGCACTCATCTGCTTACTTGCATCGACACAGATATGGAGAACTTCCCAAATTTGAGGTGTGCTCCAGGTGAAAGGTGCTGTGCATGCTCTACCTGCAATCCCACAAGTTCAGTGATACAAACGTAGATTTGTTCATCATTACTCTCAATCGATGTCCTTGACGAGGATGTTTAGAAATAGCGTCAGTGTAAATTCCAAGTACATCATCGTATGCTGCATCACCAATTGCATGTACTGCTAACTGAAGTTCATGATTAAGCATTGGATCAAGGATCATGTAAGTACCTGTAATTTCAACTCAGAAGCAGCACTCACCGACTCGGAAAGCCAACTCAGATCGGCCACACAGAGGCCAAAATTGTTTGGATCGTCTTCGTAGTGCTGCGCCAGAAACTTTAATACCTCAGAAAAGCTAATATTTACGTGACACCTGGTGAAAGAGAGCTGTTCCCAAGCCCAGCGATCCATCGGCAAAAGAATACATAGAAATAAAAACCACAAATGCGTTTATCAAGGAGTGGCAGACTGGAGGAGTTTGCGAGTGGGTTTTTTGGTGTTGATCCTCACAATTTGGATAGTAACATGCATTGGCTAGATGCACAGGGTGACACTTACCATGTCAAGGGTTGAGGTTTCCCTTTTCTCTTTTCTCTTATTTTTCTTTTCTAAGCAAAGTGATTGTTTGTCTAGATGAAGAAGCTGGTGAAAGGCCTCAAGATGGAAACAAGTCATTGCAAGAGCAAATGAAAGCTCAAGATTGTGAGCTTGATGCGACAGCCACTAGAAGCTTTGATGTAAGTGCCACTTCAGAGATTGTCTTCTTTGCTAATGTTGCTTCTCTATGAGGGCCAGGAAGCTGCAAGTGTTGGGTTGTAGACCGTGGCACACCATGGTGTGCAGCAGCTAGCATGAATCACTAGTGTGGTTTAGGGAGTTTGTGTTGGGCCATGGCTATGCTCCAGTGACAATGTCGGCTTTGGGCAAGGTGGCAAACAATGCATTGATGTGCTCCACACTCCCTACTTGCACATACCCCACCAGCAATGCATTCCACGACACGAGTGAATCAATTGGAAAGATCAGGCTATTCTGCTCTAGTAATGCAGATTTCTAAGATGGAAATTGAGCTTCTTATTTATTTATATTTTAGTAAATATTTCATAATTATTTAATACTAAAAAGTAGTGTTTGTTTGTAATTCAAATATGTATAGTATATGACCGAGATGAGAATACATTATATATAATATACTTTTATAGTTTATCAAAAGACTACTTTAAGGGGGCCAATGGGGTTTCTTATGTTGTGATTTAACTTATAAACACAAACAAGTAAAAAGAAATATGACTTTGGATATCCTAAAGGAAGGTTGCCGATTAGGCTTTGCACAATGAGTGGAATAAGTAGAGATGCAATTATGTGTAAAACAAAGTACAAAGTGGGATGGGAAGGATATCCTAAGTTCCCCCTTTTATATCCTACATGCGTGGTCACTAATTATTCTGTGCACTCATGTAATTTCCTGACTCCAAAAGCCTGAGAGAAAATCCTAAATATAAAGTCTTAAGTGTGGTTTTTTTTTCCTGTTTTCCACTCCTGCACACTCAAGAGCAAAGTAGCATGACCCTACATAGATATCCTTAAATTTTTATGGTATCCATTTCTTTAATGATGAATCACTAGTCCTTGGTGGCTGCTGTAACATTTCCTTTCTTGGTGGTCTTCCTCTGCAGCACCATTTCCAATTTGATAAAGGTACCTGAGGTAATAGCAGCAGTGATCATGACTCCCAACTGGCCATCAGTGAGACGAGTGACACAGACATCTCAAACTTCATAATTCAGGTGTTGAAGAATATTCATAGCTCTTCTTAGATACTGCCACAGTTTCCTCCCTGCTCTAAAAGACATTTCAAATTCTTTTAAGGCTTGTTAATCTCAACCAGTAGATTTTGGCATATGCTTAGTTCCTAGCATTTGACATTATGAAACCAGCTTATTCATTTAAATATATAAGCACTAGCAAGAGAATCCAGCTCCATTTAAAATATTAATATTAAATATAAAATTTTTAACAGTTTATTTAAAATACTTTTTAAAAAATTGGTGTCCAACATCTACCTTTATTTAATAATATTATTAATAAATCACAAGTCAAGCCAAGTTGTAAGAACATGAAACATTCCTAGATCATATAGTTGTTTTTATAGTTAAAACTTAGAGCGTACAAAATCTAAGAATTTTAAACTTTATAACTAAAAGAATAAGTTCTAATTAGAAAATAATTTATAAAAATAAAATATGACCCATAATTAATAGCAAAGAAATGTTTAACAAAATTAAAGACATTTGACACTCATAGCATACGTTAGATTTATTTATTTATAAGTAAGTTGATACACCACATTATAATCATAATTTGTAATGGACTTATCAAAGATATATACCAATCACCTCAAATGAAAACAAATAAAAACAAACTAATTTTTTTAAAGTGATATGTTAAATATCTTAATATAAAAATTATAAAACATAAATAAACAACATCTATTGCAATTACTATAAAAAATAAAATTTAGTTTTCTTATAAATATATTTTAACATATGTCTTTTATAGCATAACGTGATAGTATCAAAGAATGTTATCGAATTTAAAAAAAAACAATATTAGATAAGAATAATAATATAGAGCAATCTATTGTATTAAGGCAATTATAATTAGTTCTCAGCTGTTAGATCTTAAGCATGTGCCTAGAATAAGTATTGGCTTTTACATTTAACATATGAGTATACGAGTTTCAGTTTCACTGGATGTTAATTTAAAAATTATAGTTTAATACAATTATATTTTCTATATTATTAATTTTCTGTCTAAGAAAGTTTTGTTAAATTTGATAACATTCTTTGATATGCTATAAGAGACACATGTTAGGATATATTAGAGCTCCTTGCCAAGAAATCCATGCCCGTCAATCATCGAGTCTATGTCTTTTCTTCAGGGACAAAACAATTGATATAAGCCATCACTACCCCCTTCTCTACGTGATGGAGTACTACGCAATTGAAAGGAGGGCAATTCCAGTCCGGACGATCGTCACCACCGGGGTTTGTGCCTGTGGTTTCCAAGCAAAAAGGTTGGTGCTGCTTACCATGTGCTAAGTGTTGGTGCTGGTCACCAACGCTTACGTAGCCCCCAGCCCAACCCAGAGTTTACAGCTTCCGTGGTGGCTCCAAAAGCCCGAGCCAACTTCCAGGTTTCCAAGATGGCCATGAGATGAGCATGGGAGGACTTTTCTATCTATGTTGGATGGTCTGATGCGAGAACAGTGGCTTGGAGCGAAGGTCGATCGAACATTAGTAAGTCGATAAAGGCTAACCTCAAGAGCAGGGAGCCAAGTTTGAGATGTGTCACCTGCGGCCCGTTTAGACTTGGATTTCCGGAGATAGTGGTGAGCAAGGCAAGGCTGGTAAGCCACTGTCAGACAGGCAGCGAAAAGGCGAGAGCGATTCCATAGACGAGCTCGTCCAGCAAATATTCATGCATGACACGTTAGTCAGGTAAGCCCCATCTTATAGCAAAGCTGTAAACGAAGGGGATCTGTCCTCACGAAAGCATCCATTGCTAGTTTTCACTGGAGCATGCCATGGATAGTTGTGCTCAAGGAAAGTTTTTGAGTTGTCTTGGTTCACAGCTTTTTATTGGACAATGCAGAAGTTCTAGCGTAGTCATGTAAAGAAGTAGAAAAGAAAAAAAATACCAGGACAAACTTTCCCCTGTCTTCCTGTTCGAGATCACTGGAGCTTCGATTTAAGGAACTCTCTCCACGCAGCGTCTGTTCCCTGGAGGCTGCCGAGTAGAATCTTTGCCAGCTCGTCTTCGTCATCCTCCTCGAAAGCAGTGATGAACCTGTCCCGGGATCCGTGCTCAGCTGCAGTGAAGAAGGCCGCTGGGAAGGCTGAAATGCGACGCAGCAGGTGCAGCGCAAGCAGGCGTCCAACACGCCCATTACCATCTTCAAACGGATGGATCTTCTCGAAGTCGATGATGAGCCTTGCGACCGTGGAGGCCCATTTGGCGATGCTCATCTTGCTCTTGCTGTGCTCCGCGATGCTTGCATTGAGACGGTCCAGGAACTTCCGCATCTTGACCTGGATGTCTCGGGGATGTGCGTAACTCTTTCCAGCAGAGGACATGGCACCATAACTGCGGAATGCCGAGACCGGTGTCAGCTGTAAAGCTTCGTGCAGTTGTAACAGCTGCAGGGTCGTGATGGGTGAGCTCTCCGGCCAGGACCTGATGACGGCAAGACCTCTCAAGAGCCCTGCGGATCGAGCAGGATCGTCCAAGCCATGGGACGTAGCAACTTTGATAGCTTGGGTGTCCCAGAAGGCCTCAAACCTGGAGTAGATTGGATAAGTACGTGGAGAGAGCTGCGACATAAGACATACCAGAAGCCTGCGTGGTTGGACGGTGTAAGCAGTGGTTCTGGCTCCTTCTCCTTGCCAGCTTTTCCCCTTGGTTTCCTCACTGCAATATAAGCAAACACTATACGAGGTTGAGAGATCGAAATGCATACCAGCACTTCGGACGAGATTCAGAGCCGCGCGCCGCCCATCCATGATACCAGCCGAGAGAAATTCACAAGTCCTGTGACCCTAGGAAGGTGCATTTCATGGAATCGTTGGAAATATGGCAATATCGATCTCCATACCTACACAGGCCGCGAGTTGCTCTTGGATCCTAGCTCTGCAGCAAGAAAAGGTAGCTGAGCGCTACACACCCGGGGCGAGAGGAGAAATCGATCGCTGACGCTGAGCCGGCCCGATCCAGCTAACAGGGAGCGATCTAGAGCAAGAAACTATGAAATTTCGTTGTGATCGACCGAAGCGCCTACCCTGCGCTGGCGCTGGATCAATCGTTCACCCCGCCAGCGCCATCGCCATCGCCATCGCCATCGCGCTCACGCCGTCGCCTCGCCAAGCCCTGAAGAATGAGCTTGCGCCGACAGCCAATTATCGCGTGCCGCGTGTCAAAGCCCGGGAAATTCAAATGTACCCCTTTTCAAACCTTGGCTGTATAAAAGGGGGCCCTTCTGGGTTGAGGCTAGGGCATATAGATGGGGCGATACGCGGAGAGGCCCTTCTGGAGGTGCGATGGCGACGGAGCCCCGGCGACGAGCAGCATGGTGGACGCCATTTGTGGGTACGTGAAGAGGTTCCAGGCCCTGGACGGCGATGCCAAAGCATGGGCGCTGGACGTGTACGGGCAGCGCGACGCTATGGCCGACTTCCTCTTCCAGGTGAACAAGCTGGAGCTGGAAGGCTTTGATACCCGGGACCAAACACTCCACGCCCTGGAGCAGCTCCACGAAGTGGTGGCTCCAGACGAGAGATTGGAACAAGTCCGCTGCCTGTCCCGAGCATTCAACGCATGGTGGCTCCAGGAGGAGAAGGCCGAGGAGGCTCCCAGCGTCAACAACTACAAGCTCAGGCAGTCACACGAGCTTCTTATGGAGCCGAGCAGGCCGGAGATCGCAGGCTTGTTTCGTTCCGGCAGCGAGGTTGCAATGACGATCACGAGCAGCGGAAGGCAGCACTTCTACGCGGATGCCTGGGCAATCCGGCCCAAGTTGTCCAAGTTGGTGAGCAAGACTAACGCGGATGTGGAGCGGCTCTTTGAGGAGGAGGCGACGACAAGGAGCTGCAAGACGGTGGAGCAGCTCCTGGTGCTGGCCTCGGACTTCTTCTACAAGTTTGAGTGCATCCATCCGTTTGTGGATGGGAATGGGCGATGCGGGAGGATGATGCTGGCCTACTTGCTTCGCAGCGTGGCTGTGTTCCCCAATGTCTTGTTCGCTGCTGGCGCTGGCCGCCAGCACGAGTTTGTAGACCGGGATGTCTACCTCAAGTGCTTCGAGAGTGCTCGCGAGGATGACCACGAGCCCAGGGACCTGACTGCTCTCATCATAGAGGGGGTCTACTTCGGTTGGCAGAGGTTCTTTGTGGCCCTCGAGTCGTGGCAGGGCCTCAAGTTGTAGCGACCTCATACTTACCTCTCGCCCTCGAGAGGTTGCTCGAGCTCGCTTTCCAGCTCTATTTTTTCCTGGAAAGACCACCTGCCTTCCTCGGCCGCGTGTCAATGAAGAAAGCGAGCGACCCAAACATACCTTTGGACTGCCTCCAGTACTAGATGCACCGATCCATCGTCAAGCTTTCTGCTCGGCCGAACAAAAACTCTATGAGGAAGCATGGCAAAAGCTCACTACGTGACCAGGAACAAAGGGAGGAAAGCTTTACCTGATCGAAGGAGGTGCTCGTCTTTGCGTGATCATCCCTGGAGCTTTGCATGCCCCAGATTCCAACGACGATCTCTCCACGACTTTGAGCTAAACGAAACGTCTCGAGGATGCCTGCCGCACAGATCCTAGAAGCTTGACGATCTCTGGAAGGAAAGGAAAACAACGACATATCGTCGCGCAATGCAGGCAGATCTTACTCGCGTGATTCCACCAGCGCAACCCTGGCGACATCGAAGAGCTTCACATTCTCGCCTCCAGCGATCCTCATCCACCCCGAACAAGAACAAGAGAGAGAAATTAAACCCCAGAAAGGGACACCCGCAGGAATCGAACGCGTAACGGGACTTGGTGCGCAAAGAATATTCGGCTCGTGATCCCCTTGTCATGTTGTATATATAAAACTATATACTACTCACTATATATTTAGAAATGTTAATTGCTTGCAGCTCATTGCAAATGCTCAGGAGAAAAGGCCAGAGCCTGAGGGACGTCTTAGGAGGGGATTTTTCTAATATGATGATGCCAAACATGTATCCCTTATAGCATAGTGTGATGGTATCAAAGAATGTTATCAAATTTAACAAAACTTTCTTATAATAATATAGAAAATTTAAATGTATTAAACTAGAAACTAGATAAATCCATCTAACATTATTAGTCTTAACATTATTAGGAGAAACTGATCAACCAGGGATGGCATAATGATCTTGAGGAAGAATCAATTCCCTCTCCAGCACTGTCCAACTTTTCTGCATACTCCATCGAAGCTCACATAGTTTAGTTTGAAATGCAAAATCAATGTCACTCTTAGGTGGAATGCTTTTTTTGGTACATGAGGTAAAATGGATCCATTGCAGCCCTCAAAGAAATAACACACCAAAGGAAGCTTGCTGCTCTAGAGCAAATGAACATCCTCAAGAAGTTGGAAATGTCCCAGAAAAGGTGGTAGAGCTACAACATGTGGATCAATGTGGTACCTACAAAATAGATAGCAATAAAAAGATAAGGACTTTACTGGAAAGAGTGTTTGCTCCAAAACAAAATACCTGTGAAGACCAAATTCAACATGTAAGTTAAATATACCCTTATAGGGGATAAATTGTTTATGTTGCAATATAGTAAGTCAATGTTAAAAAGGGGAATGGTCATTGTCAAAGAGGCCATCATTGGGACACCCAAACACTTTAGAACACCCGGAGGTGGTGTTTGATGTCGTGAAGGCAATAGATAAGGCCCAAGGGACTAAGTCCCTAGCGAATGATGGATAGAAAATGCTATCCAAATGTCTAAGGTTGCAAAGACAGAAGAAGTCCATCTATCCGAATCGGATAAAGCCAAAAATGGAATTTTGGCAAGGCTAGTGATGGGCATATAAAGGCCCATATGTAGCAACGTTAATCCTGGTGTGTGGGATTATAAGGTGAGCATACCTAGATTGAGAAACCACTCCCTAGACTGTCAGGTAGGTTCATCCTCAAGAATACTTACTAAGGCATGGTAGAAAGTGCAAAGCTATCCTCTTAGTTTGGAGGTGAATAACTGAAGGAAATGTGTGAAGCCAAAAGCAAGTAGTAAAGGGATAGAACCAAACCATGGGAATCAAAGAGCATAACCAAGGGTGGTTATGTAAGTTGGGAGTGGAAAATCAAGTGGGTGCTGTAAGGAACCGACTCCCCGAGGTGTCGTAGGCTAAAGGATCCCCGAAAGCATGACCGAAATGACAAAGAGTTCATCGGATAGGACCAAGTCGAAGATCGACTCCAAGACTGACTCTGAGATCGAGTCCGAGATAGAGTCCGGAATCGAGTCCGAGACCGAATCGGAGACCGAGTTCGAGACTGAGTTCAAGACCGAGTTCGAGACGGAGTCTGAGATCCAAATCGGGTCCGAGACCGAGTCCGAGGTCAAGTCTGAAGTCGAGTCCGAGATCGGGTCCAAGATTGAGTTCGAAATCGAGTCCGAGACCGAGTCCGAAGTTAGGTCCGAGATCGACTCTGAGACTAAGTCCAAATACTAATACAGCTCAAGGGGTGAAAGCCCAAAGCATGCATCTCCCAGGGGGGGGGGGGGGGGGCTGCAGGGGGTTCCAAAAGTATAGTAGGGATAGTGAGGTCCAGGAACCAGTCTTGAAGGAACTCTCCAGTGGTGCTTCCAAACTGACTTGAGGTTGAGACTGGGGCCGAGGGGCCTTGGGTGGGAGTGAGCATGGGCTTGGGTGGTGCCGGAGGGGCCACCCAGGGAAGTGCTCAAGAGCAGCTCCCACTCCCGAAAGGGAAACCAACTGCGGTGCTCTCGGCTCTTGTGGAGTGGTGCCCCACTTGAGTACCTTGTGACTCATTGGTCCTCACCCTTCCTAGGGGCTTGGGCCTTCCCTTCGGGATGGAAGTGGGGGGGGGGGGGGGGGTAGAGGTACCCATACCGGGCTGTTAGGCCACAGTGTTTCGCCCCGACGTCCCGAAGCAAGTGCTGCACCCAAGGCTTGGGATTTAGAGGGTCCTATGATCAAGTCTTGTTGTACCAAGGGGTGTTAGGAACCTGGAGGCTTGATGTGCTTGGCTACTTGTGCCTGCGGGGAGTGTAGCCGAACCTTAAGTCCAGTCTAACCCGGGGAGGGGAATTAGGAGAGATTTGGGAATCCATAGATGGATGGCTAACACTCCGTTGTTCGTGCAGTGAGTAGTTGAAACCAAGTAGAACCAAGTAGGAGCTGGTACCATAGGCGAGAACCTTGGCGAGGGAACTTAGCACAAGCCAAGGCAGTGTTGGTCGGATAGACAAGGTAAGCTGGCAAATCGGAAAGGAAAAATTTGTGGCTTACAATTTGGTATCGGAGCCTTTTCCTCAGTTCTAGCGAAAGATAGAGGTGAATTGCTGGGAGATGGCAAAGGCAGGGCATAAGCAAACCCAGGTGGAGACGGAACCTCCACTAGAGTTGGAGCCTCCGGTTGAACAAGAGGCTATGGATGAGGAATCCATGCATGAGGAGGACTCCAGTGAGGAAACTTCCAAACAGGAGTCCGGTGGTGAGGTTCGGTCGTCCGAGGCTCCAAGGCTAGAAGGACAATTGGCGCAGACCAATGCCCTATTGGAGACTCTCGTACGCAAGCTAAAGCGTGACGAGAAGCGAAAGAAAAAGCGAAAGACTGCGGATGCTAGCAGCGTAGAAGGTGTGGACCCTTCAGTAGGGACTGAGGCAAAACTAGACAAGGTTGAACACACCGAAGTGGAATCAGTCCCTCAGGCAGTACCCAAGTACAAACCAAAGCCCCCACCGGTCTTCAAGGGAGTGAATGACTATAAGGTGGTGAAGGATTGGTTTTACGATATGGAGGATTACTTCCGAGCGTTGCGGTTACTGAGCTCGGAGAAGGTCCCATGTGCAAAACCATACTTGGCAGATAATGCCAAGTCTTGATGGAGAACGACAGAGGTCAACGAAGGACCGATGGCCACTTGGGAAATGATGAAGGCAAGGATCCACGTGACTTACGTTCCTCCGAATGCTACTCTACATCTAAGGGACAAGCTGAGTAGGCTGAAGCAGACTGGAACCATTCAGGAGTATGTGAATGGGTTTATGGCAAAGAGGATACTTGTCACGGACATGGGGGATATGGATGCGTTCCATGCCTTCATATCAGGTTTGCAAACCTGGGCTCGCGGTGAAGTGATGCGGTGGAACCCAACCAATTACAAGGAAGCGTTGGATGTGGTCATCAAGGTGCATTTCAACGATAACCTACGAAAGGGGAACATGACGGGGTCGGGATCCACGTTTAGCAAAGGGGCCAAACCAAAGGGAACGTTTAGCAGAGGGAAATTCAAGAAGAGTTTCTCTAAGAATGAGTCCTCGGGGTTCTGGAAAGGCAAATCCGGTGGCCAGCGAGCGAGTACATGGGGGAGTCAAGCGAAAAGAGACAAACCCACGGATAAGAAGGTCAAGTCGTATAGTAGCATGGGAAACAACGTATGCTACAACTGCGGTGAAGCGGGGCACTTTTCGAGGGACTGTCCCTACCCGAAGAAGGCCAGAGCCAATATAGCCATCAAGTCGGGTGAAGTCCAAATTGAGGTATGTGATCCAGTCCCTAACTCAAAGTTACTCATTACACGAGCAACTTTGGTAGAGAGTCGTTCGCGACATCTACTAGCCCTCCGAGGGAAGCTCGGAGGTAGCTTTGTTAAGATCCTTATTGACACGGGTGCTTCGGATAATTTTGTGGCTGCAGACATAGTCCGGCAAGTCGGACTAACGGTGCAGCGGCTAGGCGAACCAAGGACTATAGAGTTTGTTCAAGGTAGCCAAAGCACCGATGAGGTACTTCGACAAGCGAGAGTCGAAGTAGGGACATGGAAAGTAGACATGGATTTCACCGTGTTGGACATGGCGGGATTTGATGTGATCTTCGGAATGGATTAATTCAATCGGTTCGTGGTAGCCTTGCATGGACAAGGTAGGAACCTTGTGGTACTGGCGAATGCCCAAGGAAGAAGATCTAGGGTGGAGGCCAAAGAGTCCTGCTTAAACCTGGTGTCCACGAGAGGACAACTCACTAAAGGAACTAAGGCAGCCTTTTTGTGCTTACTCTCGGTGAAGAGTGACAAAAAGACAAGAACGAAAGAAGTACCTTTAGTGATCCAGCGGGTGTTGGACGATTCCAGGATACCATGCCGGAGGAGCTACCGGCGGGGTTGCCCCCCGCACGACCAATAGAACATAAGATTGAGTTGGTCGAGGGTGTAGAGGCAGTGGTTCGTCCCCCTTATCGTTTGAACAAAAAAGAACTCAAGGAGCTCAAGTGCCAACTAGAGGAGTTGGTAGACAAAGGGTATGTTAGGTTGAGCAAGTCGCCGTATGGGGCACCGGTGTTATTTGTGAAAAAGAAAGATAGATCTATACGCATGTGCATAGATTATCGGTTGCTCAACAAGTATACAAAGAAGAGCAAGTACCCTTTGCCCCGGATTGAGGACCTGTTCGATAGGTTGGGAAAGGCAAAATACTTCTCAAGGATTGACCTAAGGTTAGGATACTACCAAATCAGGGTAGCCGAGGAAGATGTCGAGAAGACAACCTGTTGAACGAGGTATGGGAGCTTTGAGTTTTTGGTGATGCCCTTTGGGCTGTGCAATGCACCGGCAACGTTTTCGGCGTTGATGAACCATATCTTTGTACCCTATCTGGATCACTTCGTGGTCGTCTATATTGACGACATTCTGATCTATAGCGAGACGCTAGAGGAGCATGCTGAACACTTGGCGAAGGTGTTTGAGAAACTAAGGGAACA